TACATACATACATACATACATACATACATGTTTATATATATATATTTATATATACATATATATATACATATATTCATATTGTACTGCTATTTAGTACTAACATACTTGTCTGTGCTAAGAAGGCTTCCGCATGGCTATTCTATTTGCATTAGCTGTTTGTGTGACATAGTCACAAAATCACAAAAGCAAAACTATCGACCCAATAGCCTTTGCTGCACATACATCCATGGGATTTTTTAAAGTGTGTTCTTTTTTTTGGGTTTTGGTAAGAAGGCTTCAGCATTGCTGTTCCCTTGCATTTGTTGCCTGTGCGACATAGTCACCAAAAGAAACAAAACGATCGACCCAAAATGATCTATATTTCTTTTGAATTTTAGTTCTTGTATAGTACCGTATACATAAGCTACTTCAAAAGTACTTGCTGTATATATGTGTACAAGTAGTTGGTGAATCCTCTCAATTGCTTTACTTTGCCAGAGCAAGAATCTGGGTGACTGCCCGTTGCTCGGCTGGGGCTCCCAGTCTGGGGCTCCGGTTGTGTCGCACCATGACGGCAACGAAATAGGGCTGGAGGCGGTGCCAGACATGCACAGCCATGAATCGAAACACACATGTTTCTTTAGCCGAATGTCCATTTACCGTGGTAGCGCACTTCTTTTCTTGTTTCTCACATGCTTCTACCTTATGGCATGTGAAAGAATTTGTAGTGAAACAGCTCAGCTGATTTATATATACTTATTCTTTGCAACTTCATGTTTATATAATAAAGTAATAATTTCATTAATAATAATAACATCTACAAATGTTTAGTAGTATAGGAAACGATAAGCGAAACGTTTGTATAATGTATAACCCACTACTGAAGCAATTGAAGAGCCTTTTGAGACTGCTGAAAGCTTGCAGGGAAGAATGTTGAGGGTAAATAAGAAGAACCAGAGCTTACCAATGGTCAACAAACACGGCAAGAAGGGATGAGCCACTGCTTAAGTACGGGTATTCTGCCCTTGAGAAAACTATGCAGATGGAGAGCTTGAAGGCTACAACGCCAAAAAGTTGCTATCAAAAGCAAAAAAGCAAAAAGCAAACGGTGAATAAGCAAACATGTTTGAGATCAACTATCCCAATCCTATCATCCCCTCATGTTGTTTGAACTTTGCTTCTTTGTTGTTTTGCTATCTCTTTGAATCTCTTTAGGCCTGTTTTGAATAAAACTTGCTCTAAGAAAGGAACTTACTGCAAAAAAAACATTGTGTTGGCGTCGTGCTTTTCCAGTGGTTGGCCCTTTGCCTCAAAGCCATAGGCCAGGTCCACGCGTCCGCCTGAAAGGCCAGACGATTCATATAGGAAGCTGCGCCCTAAGTGCCAGCCAAATGTTGATGTTGGAGCTTCCTCCGAATGTAGTTCATCGTCGAGCTCGGGCAAATGCGGGTTGGGTACATAGCGCCCATCTTCGGGCACCCGTATGAACCATATATTTATGGGATGCAAAACTTCAAATGGGTATCTGAGTGCTTTGCATTCAGCAGCAATCCCAGGATTACCTGCGTTTTGGGATGGAGGGTTGGGAGTGAATGCATCATGTCCCAGAACAACGACAGCGGGTGAAGACGCCACGCCTTGACATTTTGGCTCAAGGCTGGCAGTCCTTCAACTTCCCACCCTCAGCTTGTCAGTTACCCCTTGAAATGGTTGAGTGGGTAAATAGCGCCCATCTTCGAGCGCCCGAATGAACCATATGGGATGCAGAAATTCAAAATGGGTATTTGATGCTTTGCAGTCAGCGACAATCCTAGGAAGACCTGCGTTTTGGGATTGTGCATCATGCCCCACATTTTCCAAAGTTAATTGCATGGATACGGCCCTGGCAAACCAGGAAAACTACAAACAACACACTCGCCCCAAGCGGGTGGGGCTGGTAGGGTGTGAAAAGCCAGTTTTGCAGCACTTTCGCGGAACAGGATGTCAACCCCTTGGCTCGCTGACGGAACTAGCTCCGGTGTAACCTACCATTAGCCTAGCTGTTTGCTGCCCGTTTCCTGCTGCTTCCACGTGTTTGCTTTGTTCCAGGCCCAACACACTCCACATCTCCGGGTCGCGACAACGACCCTCCCTCCCTGTTTAGGTCCCACGCGGCCCGAGAAAATGACGATTCTATATAGTCTGTTTTTAGGCGCTCCCTCGCTCGGCATCACACCACGCAACGAGTGCAGAACACTGCCACAGGTTCTTAGGCCTCACGCGTGGTCACAACGCGTAAAGGCGTAAGGGAGCACCACGAAGGCTCCACGGTGCCGGCAAAGGGTTCTCGTGGCCAACTTTGGGAGCGACAGGGATGGGCGTTCGCATGACGTTGCTTTGTAACGTAGCGTACAACATGTGGAAGTGTTGGGGATTCTTCTGCCAGTGAGATTTGCGATTCAGGCTGTTGCCTCGAAGCTGTGTTTTCGTGACGAGTCTCAGCTAAAACTGTGATTTTTGATGGATTTTAGTGTTCTCAGAAATTGTCGAAATCGTTCCAAACGTGTTCGGTGTGATTTGGAGAGTTGACGCTTGACTTTTGGAGGAAGTCTCGTACGAAATGCTCGTTTGAGCTCCGGGGGTCAGAAGTGGCAAGAGGATGCAAAGGGTGTCCCACAAGGGTGCCCCACACAAGACTGCACAGAGTGTCCCACAAGAGTGCCCCACAAGACATCTAGCATCTCACCACGTCTCACCAGAGCCACAAACTAATGGGATGGTGCGTGCCCTGGATGGCTGCAAGGGCTGTGGAACAAGACGGATCACCAAAAAATATGTTTTTGATGTTTATTGGACAGGTGATGACAGGTGTATTTACAGGTCAAGAAATAAGTTTCAAGGATCTTTTTCATTGGAGAAGTACCCAACTGATCCAGCAACCCAGGCTTGGCAGGGAGAAACCCCAGCATGTCAACCAGAACGTACTGGCAACGATGTGGGCAAAAGAAACACTACAAACGGTTCACAATAACGGTGACACCATGAACTGAGCAATCTGGGGGAATCTATGGCTTGTGATGGTGGATATCCGGTTGAAGAGGAGCTGCATTAGCCGTAAACTGAAATTGAACTCTGCACTGTGTTTGCTGCTTGCATCACATGCCGTACTGTTACCACTCTTAACAGGATGGGCCCATGGAGGAGCTGGCAGAACTGCAGATCAAGGTCGTCTCTACAATTTGCCCTCAAACCAGTGTTTTCTTTGAGACAATTAGCGGTTAATTCGTCAGCCTCAGGAGGCTGTCACTATTTTTGCTGCACGTTCAGGAAGAAGCACGTCTCGAGAAGCTGTTCGCGGATCGGGGATTTCTATGGATACTGCAGAAGTGTGGAAGATGATGTCAGATGCCATAACAGAAAGACACACATGGCAAGACTTGGCAAGGAGCAAAGATCTGAGCAGGGCCTTGACAACGACGTCACTCTGAACACATTTTTCAAGGCCCGTCATTGCAAGACATTCTTATGTTTTCTTCAGCGATTTCAGAAAGTTTCACATTTCTTAACCACGCTGCATTGTCCCACACAAATGTTCTAATTGTGTGAACCACTTGATTGCAGCTTGGTTTCAGCATGCTTCAGCTTCAGCTATATTAGTCTTGCTAAACCAATGTTGCCATGCATCATGTGCTGACCTCACCCACCTGCAATAGACGTTGCAAGCGCTGCAATACTCTGCCAGCTCTTCGACATGTGGATCCAGCTCTATCGCTTGAACAAGTGTATGGAGGCGTTTGGCGTCGGTGTTCCTTTTGTTGACACCAGATTCCGAGGCTCGCGAGTTTTGATCGGGCTAATGCTCTGGTGCCGCCAACCCCCTTGTGCGTGGAACCACAAAGGGCGTTGGTTCCAGCATGTTCCAGGCAAGAGTTGCCTGCAGGCAGAAAGCCGGTCTGTTAGTACAGAGTCACAAAAACATACAAAAACCAGTTTCTCCCAAGAGCTTGAGCGAGGACCCCGAAGAAGCAGTTAGATGTTGACCTGAAGAAACTGTTGGGGGTTGTGGGCAACTGTTGGGCAACTGTAGCTCTCGACTGTGGAGCAGTCTTTCCTTTTTGGGGAGCCCCTTTCTTTGTCCAGAGCTTCGAGCCTGTGCCCGCAATGTTCACTTAAAGAAAGCATGGATTTGGAGGAGAAATTCGTCCAACAATGAAGTCTCCACTGCAAAAGCGCGAATAGGTTCTATTGGGGCACCACTTGAGAGAGGTCCCCCAAACATGGAGCTTGGAAGCCACTGAAAAGCATCGCCTCACAAAATGTTGAAAACAGACCCAGCGGAGCAAACGGCGGTCTTTAAAACCGCCACAGGCGCTGTGCGGCAGCATCGCACACCAAACGACAGCTTGGAAACCGGTGGTGCCCACTGAAAAGGCTCGCCAAAGTCACTATAGTAGAAGGTGTTGCACCCCAGCATGGCACGCACAACAGCATGGAATCCACAACAGCAGCATCGCAGCCTCCTGTTGCAACCTTCCGTATCCCAGGCGCCACCCCTCCTAGGCACGCTCTAGACTCTAGGCCTAGGTGGGGTCGGGGGAATATATATCATGTATTTCATCCCACGTTCAAACTTTTCGGTCGCATCTTCATGTTGGTCTCACAGGTCTTGGAGGAGGTGGTTCCAATTTGCCGGAAACGAGGAGGCAGTGCCTTCTCACGCAGCGTGGCAAAGAAACCGGTAATTGAATGTATATAATTGATGATAGTTTATTCTCTCATTGCAGGTGATCTTCACATCAAGGGAGTTCAGGACCTTTGCGTAGATTAGTTTGCTTTGCGGTTTATCAGAAAGAAAGTCCTGCTTGTATCTTCGGCATGTCCACTTGCAGCGCGGGGTGTCCTCATTCTCAAACCTGGTGGGGTCAGATGTGGTGACTATCAGCCAAAGCATGACAGCATCACTCTGAACTACCCAAGCATCGCAACGGCTCAAAACTGGTTAAAGGTAGAAAGGATCGGCAGGGAGCAGCGGTCGCATTGCCATGGAAAGAGAAGGAAGGGAGGGCAACTATTCTCCTGTGGCTATCATCTATGAAAATTCTGCAAGGCAGTCTGCTGCAATTTCCGACCTGCAGACCCACTTTTGCCGGCACGCGTTTGTAGCAGGTTGGCTTGCATTTGGCCTTTGTGGTCGACCATGTTCGACCTCTTTGCATGTTTCAAACATGTAAGAAACACGGGTTCAGGAGCTGATGCCCAATGTATGTGTGTTCATAAATTGAATCCTCCAACTCCAACGTCGTTTTCTCGCGAATACCTATTAGACAATTTGTGTCGACAAGGACTTCCGAGTTGTGGAGATCGACAGCTAGAGGACATCGCACTGGATCACAAACACCTATTTGCATCTATTTGCAAGTGTTCATAGTTTTTTATGGAATCTACACATGGGTTGTTCTCAAGGATATCATAATTCACTTTATACAAGGGCGCTTCATCCAAGGATGCGACGTGACTGCGATTTTTAATTTTAGTAAGCTTTCTTGAAAAACAAGACTAGGCCTTGGATGTCGATGTGCAAACCCTGCAAAATCCGGTAAAACGATACCTGCAGCGTCCAGGTGCCAAATGCTGGAAACGATGCGGGAGGCCCTAACTTTGACCTAGATCCTCAGAAAAATCCTTGAGATGAAAGAGACTCGTGTCAGCAAAAAGTCAGTTGCAAGCCCCTTCACGAGGAAGAAGGTACAGGCACAGGTGCATCCGCGTCCAAGCTCGGCTAGAAAAATATTTGTGGTAGAGGGGCAAGGATGGTACGAACCCAGAACAGGTGAAGACCATGCCCTTTCAAGAGTTGCTGCAAGGGTTTGTGAGCGTCTTGAAAGTTTGTTCAGGAAATCTTGGGGCACAACAAGCAGATCTTGTGATCTTGTGGTACGCATTTTGTTTAGATCGTTCTGGCTCCATCATACGGCATGTGCTGGTTTTTGCGCGTTGAGTCTGCTTAGGCCGACGGTCATTACAGACCGACACAATTCACCGCAGCTCACCATAGATCGCAAAAGATCTTTGTAGACACGCCGGCAAAGTCACGTAGCCGCCAAACAAAGATCACCAAAAGCTATCATTCATCGCCGGGTGCAAGCATACGATCAGAACATGGCCACGCCGGACGCCTGAATCCGGTGGACTACCCTATAGACTGCTTCGAGTGTTGCTAACCCGCTCCCAACACTTCCGCACTAGATAGTTGGTAATTACTTGATACGAAGTAGCACCTGGCGCCGCTTTCCTCCAGTTGTTTCGATAGTTATATAGCTGTTTGTTTTTTCGCCCCTCCTTGTACTTCTTACTTGTGAATCTTGTGACGACCTCGTTGCATCCGACTTGCATTTAGATGGAATCCATATTTTGTGCAAAGCAACGCTCAAAGATGGGTTTCAAGGCTTGGGTCTTTTTGCCCGCAGCTGTGTTTTGCAGTGAAGTCGTAGCACCATCCTGGAGGGCTTCGTGTGAAAGAGGCTTCTCTAGCATGAGTCTCCTGCTGCTGCTACTGGTGGAGCTCCATCATTATTACAGCGAAAGTTGTGCATATTCTGCGCTGAAGTCTTTGTTATCCCAGCCAGAGATGGTTATAATGCGTCACTTTGGAGTGGTTCGACGGAGAAAGTACTTGCTTGCAATTGGTATTTGTGAAGCCTGTCTTCTGTTCACAGATGTTACTTTTCCTTTCGTTGCAAGGGCATGTGATGATATTTTGACTGAGAATTGGAAAACTGCTTGGAGAGACGTGCCGCTGGTTGGGGAACTTGCAGTCAAGATGGTTGGTACTTTGCGATTCTGGGGCTTTGCATTGCTTTCTTCGGGTGCTGGCATCCTCGTAAATGGAGTGGCCCGGCAGAGGTTCAGATGCGCACGCATGGCCACTGCTGTTATTCTCGCTACTCGTGACTTGTTCAATTTGCGCAGCATTCGCTGAATTCTGTATGTAGTTATACAGGTTTGTCAAGGAGTCTATATAGCTGAGCCAGAATTTTGTGCAAGGTGCTGGGGTTGTTGTGCATGCCTTTCTGGACAAGAAGCGACCTTGAAGTATCTGGGGCTGCCTTTCTTTCATGGGCACGAGCGGCAGAAATCGCTATGATGCCTAGAGTCTTCGCTGCATTGCGTGGAACTAGAGAACCATTGGTGACCATATTCAAGATTATTAACTATTACTTGCACGCTGGTTGTCGATTATTTTTGCCAGTCATCAGCTTGTATGTCATGCCTTAAGTCTATGGACTCATCAAAGGAAGTTTCGCAGGGAAAGTTCTGATAGCAAAAAGTTGCAGTTGAGGTGTGCGGCATCATGTGGATGTAAGTAAAGAGAGCAGTCAGAGGCAAAACGGAATCTAGTAACGCACAGGGGTGAGCCGCTTTGGGACCGTTTCGGGCGGTTGCACTGGGGAGTGATGTGTTTGTGTTCAGGCGTTTGGGACGTGACTGAATCGTAATTTGTTTGCGGGAGGTGGGCAGAGGCTACTAGTAGCTTCTTGTTAGTAGTAAGGCCAGGAGCTACTAGTAGCGTCCTTGCTCCTAGTAGCGGTGCCCTTTGTTACTAGTAGCTGCAGCTTCTTGTTACTAGAGGTTGTTGCCAGTTGCATCCTGAGTCCTGAGTGGAGAAGTGGTGCATTTGTACGCGATGACACACCGGTGAGTTTGTGCCCAGACACCCCTTGGCAAAGCCGGGTATGCTGGGAATGAGTCTGGGGTGAGAAGAAAGATAACATATGTACAATGATCCTGTCAAAACCCAAGGAATCCACAGAACAGAACCCCCAACACAAGTGAAACACAAATTCCAAATCAGTGGAGCGGGATGTGGGCGAAAGAGAATCATGGCTGAAGTTTCGACAAAGAAATAGAGTTGAATGGCGTTTATTCCTTGCAATTTTGTCATACTGTGGAGGTTTCCCGGAGCTGTGAGATCAACGCAGGTCCTGCCGCATGCAAAGGTTCACGAGGATCAATGCCATAAAACGAAATGGAGCTATTGGCGTAATAAGCTGCTCTATATTGTTGTTCGTCCTGGTATTGTTTAAAGATCATTCTGAGAGCATCCGCATTTGGCAACCATGGCCTTCGAGGGAGGCCTCCAACGCCCGAATATTCAAAGCTAAGTTATCGCAAGCTTGTCGCCCGTTGCTTGGCGCACTTGGGCAGGAGCTCATGTTTGGAAAGTGTCTGCAATGACGTGGCTGCACGTTGAAAGCTTTCTGTTTGTTTCATTAGCTATCGTGGCTTTTTGGGAGATAGTTGTGCTTCTGTGGGCGTATAGTCGACTTGTGTATTCGGGCCTTAGCGGTGGAGTCGCACTGGCACATGATGCCCACAGTAAACGACATGAGCGATTGCAAGCTCGCATCACGTAATACCAGGCATCGAAAATCTGGGTTGGCCATCGCAGCATAAACTCCCACATGAAAAGCAGCTCGATGTCCTCACCAGGATGCGACCAAAGCAGGGTGAAGAGAGGCCCGGATGGAAGGATACTGGGAAGGCTTCGGACGTTTGTAACCCTTGATGCCTGCAGCCAGTACTTTTTTGAGACCATATCACCATGTCATTCAAGTACAACAGGTACGGTATAAGAGTCTTTATAAGACCAACATCCGAATCTCCAGGTCTGCACACTCGTTTCCACAAAGGGTTACCAAATCATGTCAGTGTGTTGACGTAGCGTCCCATTCACGATGAGACTTGAGCTTTACAAACACTGAAGTGTTGAGTATCGTACTTGACAAGCTGTTCAAAAAGGTCCCAAATCAGCGTATATGGAAAAAGGGCCATCGCTATTAGGTTGGAGGCCATCCCTATTAGGTTGGAGGCCATCGCTACTAGGTTGGAGATCATCGCTGGTTGGAGGCCATCTCTATTAGGTTGGAGGCCATCGCTATCAGGTTGGAGGCCCTGTCCTTTACTGTATCTATGTTGGAGGCCAAGGCTATTAGGTTGGAGGCGATCGCTATTCGGTTGGAGGCCATCCCTACTATTATTAGGTTGGAGACCATCGCTATTAGGTTGGAGGCCAATCGCTACAAAGGTCCCAAAAAAGGCCTTTGCTTTTGTACCAGTGGTGGAGTGGTACTGGATGTTTGGTGCTTGTCGGAGCTTGTGTTCAGTCGCGCCGCTTGTACGAAGCCGTGCAACATCCAGCTGGGGACCGGGGAACTCGAAAGCCCGTTGCACGCCGTTGCACGCTGCAAGCCGTTGATAGCTCTTGGCTTGCAATTCCGCTTGGAAATGAAGAAAGCAGTCGAAAACGACGCCCTTGACAAGTGGATGTCAGCCTCTGCGGCGGGGCAGCACTCGGCGCACACCCAGTAGGTCATAACTTGTCGCTCACCTCAACAATGCTTCGTTCCACCTTTGTTCCCAGCATCTTAAGTGTCTTTTGCTTTCATCCGCTCGACTTAATTACTCGCTTGGTCGTTCTCCCGTCTTTCGACGGTTGCTTTTGGGGCAGGCACAGTGCTTTGGCATGATCTCTGGATGTGGGGGTGCAGTTGTGTAACGACAATGGACGCATGTCGCAGTGCATGCCGCGTACAGTACTCGTACGTGTAAGAGAGCGGCAACGTCGGCAGGAACCGCTGGCGCTGTTGTTGGCTCAGCAGCGCAGCAAGCTGGACAGTGATGGTAATATTCTTTGGCGCTCGATTGATGTAAGAGGCGGCGCTCTTGATCTGTGGTACAGCTGGCTATTTTGTCTCCTGCCAAGTCACTCCAGCGAAAGCATAGACTCTAGACATAATTCAGCTGTAGCCAAACGCAGTGGCCAACGGGGCGAGCGATGTCGTTCTTGTCGTTTGGGGCCATCAAGACACGTCGGCCTATGCCTCTGGAAAAGTCTAGTGCGCCCCGATCTTTTTGGCACTGCAGGTCTATGAGGACACTGGCAATCGCGTGCGCTCTCAGCCATTTGCTTCTGGCTGCTACCGGGCACCAACCTCCGCCGAGCAGCAAAGATAGTGTTTCCAGACAAGCGCGTAACAGAAGGATACAAAAGGTCTCAGGATGTCGATGAACTTGAGGTCCCTGTTTCGTGCGGTTTGTTCCACACTTAGCCGCTTCAGGGGCCACGTCCATTCCACTCTTGCTTGAGGCTGCAAGCAGAGCACACACGTGAGAGTGAGAGCACATATGTGAACACACATGTACGAGAGCACAGGATGACTGCATAAGTATGAGAGACAACACACATGAGAACATGTGAAACCAAGGCAAACACATGAGAGCACAGATAGAGAGCGCACACACATATGAGAACATAAGTATGAGAGCACACGCGTGAGAGCACAGATGAGAGCAGAGCACACACATAATAGCAAACCTATGAGAACCAAGACATAAGAGCACACATGTGATAGCACGAGTGTGCGTGACTACACAAATAAGAGCACCCCTGCGAGACCACACGCATGAGAGGTTCACACTTTGCTGCACCTGCCACACATTGTGCACATCAAGGTGTACAAAGTGCAGCGCCTGCTGCGTAATCACGAAAGGTAGCGGTTACGCTACCTGAGTTGCCTTGCTTTAGCAATGTATTGCGGGTGGTCCCCCCCCCCCCATTCGACTCCACCCTGCGCCGCGGAGAATTTGGTAGTGATCTGAGCAGAAACAAGCAGCCAGCAGCAGCAGCAAACCAGCAATGCAGCAGCAGCAGCAGCAGCAGTAGCAGCACAGCAAAGCAGAAAGCAGCAGCAGTGGCACCAGTGGCAGCAGCAACGACAGCAACAGCAGCAGCAGCACCAAAGCTCACACAAGTTTGGCCTCCACAACCCTTCGTTTTCGTTCAGTTTTTCGGGGGTTGCGCAGACGAAATTGAAAGAGGGGGGGACAGCAAAGCAGCAGCAGCAGCAGTCTTCAGGATTCAAGCAACAGCAGCAACCAGCAAGAAGTAGCAACAGCAACAGCCAAACAGCAGCAGCAACCAGCAGGAGCAGCAACCAGCAGGAGCAGCAGCAGCAACCAGCATGAGCAGCAGCAGCAGCAGCAGCAGCAACCAGCAGCAGCAGCAAGCAGCAGCAGCAACCAGCAGCAGCAACCAGCAGCAGCAGCAGCAAGCAGCAGCAGCAACAAGCAAGCAGCAGCAACCAGCAAGCAGCAGCAACCAGCAAGCAGCAGCAACCAGCAACCAGCAGCAGCAGCAACCAGCAGCAGCAACCAGCAGCAGCAACCAGCAACCAGCAGCAGCAACCAGCAGCCGCAGACATGCTACCTTTCGTCCACCCCCGTCTCCTCAAGTCTGCCCTTCAAGGTTGAAAACAAGGCAAAGCCCAAAGGGCTTAAAGGGCTTTGAGGCTCCGACGCAGCTGCTTCCAGATGTCCACGTTGCGCATGTGTCCAACATCATGCTGCTGCCACCGTTCTAAATATCACAACGATGCAAAGACACCCCGGCCCTAAACTTGTTCAGTCCAACGCTCTTACAGGCCAAAACGGAAATCAAACCTCACCTGGTTTAGGTGCTCATGTTGCCGAACCTTTCCGCAAGTCCACAGTTCAATGCTCCACAGAGTTAGTTGGTCTCCAGAGGGCTGCAGGTTTCAACGGTTTATGGGATTTCATGTGTTCCTGGAACGATCATAATAGCATGAAGTCAACCACGGCATGTCACATAGCACAAACTTTGAGACTTGGGCATATCTCTGCAGCCCTTTTGTTGAGCGAGAAAAGATCAAGCTTTTTTAGCTGCGCGGGTTACGAGCCCAAGGCGCTTTCGCTTTGGGTTCTGATTGTGACCCTGAGCCATGAGCGAAGAGGTGTCTGAGAAGACGCCAGATTCTGGAGGCCCGAGAGCGATAGAGGCCGCTGGGCCGAAAGATGGGGCGCTCGCAAGGCCAACTGCGCCGCCGGTGGTTTTCCGTCCTGAGGCGGTCAATCCTTTCTGGTCGGAACGCTTCCAAGACGAAGCAGCGCTGAGAGCACTGAGGCCCGCTGACTTACCATCGCAGGAACCCTCAGAGCTTCTTCCTGACCCTGTGGTTTCGCCTCCAAGGGATGGATCAGATGTCCGCGTCCTGATACAAGGCCTCTTTGTCTGAAAATGCCAGGTTGTGGTGCGAAAGAGAGTCGTGGTCGTCGGGGCGGATGGGCGCGGGG